GAAAACAGGGATTCACTACAAAAAAAAAGAGATTTAAAAGGATATATATATTGTGAAGTGGATGAGATCTTAGCCAACTAATTATACAAAACACCAGATGATTCGGGAGAAGGCGGAAATGTATAAAGTGTGGAGTATCTGTAATTTTTCTAATCATGAATTATTAGGATTGCTTATATATCATATTATTGCATATATCCACAATAATTAATAATTCTATTCTCATGAAGAAAAAATTTTTACTTTCAATTCTTTATACTTAATATTCTTGATAAACTTTAATATCTCATTCATTCTCATATTTGATTCATTGTTCGGGCAGGACAGGGTATATACTTATACTTACATCAATAGAGGGTCGAACTTGTAAATAATTGTAATTACGCTTACAGTTCCTTTAGTCAGCATTTTAGAATTCTTCATTTTTCCTTGTTCATGGATTCACAAGTGGTTTAAGGGGGATTCAGCAGTGGTCGTAAAATATTTGTAATTCCTTACAATATTTTAAAACTGACAAATTTATTATTTTGATAAAACAGGATTATTGGTTAAAAATACCAAACATTCTTTATGAACTTATAGATGTTTAACTAAAACAATTCTTAAGAAAAAGTCAAAGACAAACATGCAGGATAAGAACTACTAGATATACTGCACAATAGTTGATAAGATCACGTAGATTCAGATAAGTTAAATATTCCAAGAATGCTGCATGACCAGTGACCACTGTATTATCCATGGTTGTGTAAAGACATGGTCTATAAAATTATTAGGATAGGTGTAATTTATTCTGTCATGTGTTTAATTTGTTCTTTACCATCTTGGTCTCTAGTAACTTTAACAAGAAATGTTGTTTGTTGATTAGATCACATGGATCTCCCAGAAAAAAGCATTACACGGATGTTTGTCTTGCATTTATTTCTTTATGTTAAAATTGTTATCTGTATTGTTACTTAAACTCCAAGTATAGGTATAGTTTACTCTTTCAACAAATCAAATAAATTCAAAATATAAAATCATTTAATATTTTTACATAATAACCAAAAACTACATACAACTTTATTATGCTAGCAATAATCTAACAATTTAAAGTTGTTTAATAGAATTAAACAAATCGATTCTCACACCACCTAGCGGAAAGAAAACTCAACTTTTAGAAAATGCTATGTCTTGGCGCATTATAACTGAAAAGTTGCGGGATTACTTCACGTTTTCGTCAGAGCGAAATTAGAATTTTTGAAAAATGGTAGAGAAATCACGTTTATAGCCATAGCTCAGGTTGTAGGCATGTTAGAGTAAATTCAAGTTATTGTCAGAATCAAAAGGAGAAATGCAAGATATTTTTATAAAAAAAAATGTGGCCGTAAAATGAATATTAAAGGCGTGGCGGCTTAATAATTGGGTAAAAAATCCCAGTTTTTGGCTGAAAATGTTTATTCTTGTTTACAAACCGTCGTAACGACGAGCCTTAAAAAACTTTAGCGTTGAAATAAAGAAGCACTAGAACGTGGGTAATGCACTGGAAAAAACGGATTTGAAAAATATTAAAAAATGACTGAGATAGGGGCGTTTCCGTAAAACCGTTTGGGAAATATCAATGATTTCGGCCATATAATTTTGACATCCTTTGCAGGTCGATTTTGATATATTAAAAGCTGGAATCGTATTTTCAAAGATCTCCTGATATCTTTATTGGCCTTTAAAGTTTTTCTAGGGGGTCGGAAGGCACAATTAAATATCCCTGAATCTTTAAGACCTTAGATATTCCAAATTATGAACTCTGTCAGATCAAATAAAATAAAAATTTAAATACAAAAAAATAAAATGTAAATTGTGAATCTGTCATTTTTGTAACCAGTGGATTTGTGGAAGAAAAATGATTCTTCCATTAAAGTTTCTAGTTTTAAACACAAAACTTTATTGGCAATAGTATATATAGCCCTAAAAAATGAGACATCTGAAGTCGATAGAGTTAATTAAATTATTTAAGTTTACTTTACACTTTACAGTCAGTGTTTTTGTTAACTGTCAATAAATGGAGACTGGAGGGAGAGGCACTTGAAATAACAATTACAGTTCCTTTTAGGCACTTTGCCACTTTATATATTTCCAACTTGGTTTATATTTAGTACGAGTTTGTAAATCTTGCAAGAAGACTCAGTCTGATGAAGAACTAAGGACAGCTCATTTACTAATGGAGCTCATGGGAGATTCTCAGTCCATGCCAATGAACAACAGGAGAGCTCCACCCCCAGATGTAAGATACACCTCCAGGTTCGGGAACAAAGAGGAGAAGGTTGAGATAACAAAGCTTCCTCGTATCTGATCGCAGAAAAGATCAGTGGGGCATGTAGCAGGAAAGTGATGGGTTGATCTTTCCTGCGATCATAAATAGTATTTTTTCCCTCTTTCCATCATTCTCAGTTTCTCCTCCCCACCCCTTCTTCCACCCCTCATCAAATCTAACGGATTTATTCTTGTTTGTGTTTGGATTCTATAAATAACCCAAGCCACGCGGAGAAACCGTTATTCCAGAGGCCCGGGGGCTGGTGGGTTAGCCGGCCAGCTCACGGGGTACTAGGGTTAAATGCTAACCCAGGGTGGAGCGAAATCTGGGGAAAAAAAATCAGTTGATCATCAGCTCCCTTAAACTGAGGTTCCCTTGAAGATTCCCCATCACTCTGAAACTGCTTCAATTCATAATATTTTATTAGTATATAGTATCAACCGTTTCATTTTTGTATCTTTGTAAATAATAAACTGTAAGAAAAACCGACTTGTTGAATATTAATAATACAAGTGTTTGCATTGATTTATTTTTCTCTCATATATAATATGGTGACAAGTTCAAAAATTGGAAGCCCAAATAGCAACACTCGTTTTTAGTAATATTCGGTGAAATAGTTTTCTAGCATTTTGGCGCACCCTAACTGAAAGCTAGAGTACTATCGGTAAGCTTGCGCAGACCGCGGCATTGAAAATAGACGCCAACTCATTCTACAGCACAGTTAACCGTTACTTTTCAAATTGTGAACATTTAACTAATAATTCTGAGGTAAAACGATTTTATTTTTATTTTGTTTAATAATTTATAAATTTATGAGTATGGCGAAGTATTTTCATCAAGCTTTAATATTTTGTTTCGACAGACTAACGTAGTTAATTGATGCGAGTTAAGATAACATGTTAAGAACACAGACGGAAGAAATGTTTTTTAAATTCCAACGTATTATTCAACCGTACTCCATTCTTATATTCTAGGATGGAGAACAACGTCCCTGAACAACGGAGGCGAGAATCATCTTGCAGAAAGAGGATGACAAGTCGAAGGTGCAGCAATTGCTCAAAACTCAAGCCCTGGCTATTGATGATGCAGTATCCCCGATGCCATGGAACCAGTTAACTGAATCTGAGGCAAAAGTTATATCCCGAGTTGTTGAGAATATTAAGCAGCAAGATTTTTCTACTAGATCCATCAAACACTGGTCTATTCACTTCTCCGACCTATTTGATAAGTTTTTTATTTCCAGTAGAGTGGGCCGTATCGCTGTTGTCTACAACAGTTGCTCAACAAGTTTAAAACAACGTCTACTGGCGCTAGATGTCGGTAATGAAGCTCAGAAGGACTCCTACTCTTACCTAAGCCTGCTCCAACTTATAACAACGGTAGTTCACAGCCCTGTCTCCAAGGACAAAGCCATGATGAGTATTTACAAAGGTTTCCGCCAAGGTAGTTCAGAATCAATCCAATCATACCTGCAGAGAGTACGTGATACTGGGGAGGAGGCTTATGGCCCCAGTTCAAGTTGGACAATGTCGCAAGCGTCTCTCCTGCTTAAGAAGATATGCGAAGGTATGAATTCCTCAGAATTAGCTAAACTGACAGCGTCTATAGTAATTTCTGTTCCGTTCCAATGGAATACGCTGTGCAACTCTGTTATCCAGTTCCAGCAAAGAGTAAAACCGGCCCAGTCTGACCCAAATGTTAATGCAGTTCAGCAAACTCAAGCCAGAACTCCAGTCTGTTTCAAGTGTGGCCCTTCTCACTACATGCCTGACTGCAGAGTTTTAGTATGTAAGTACTGCGGCCAGAACCACAAGCATGCTGAGTGTTCAAAAACTGGTCAGAAGACGTTCTGCGCTAAATGTAAGAGTAGATTCCACAACACCGACGGACATTTCAAGTATGTTCCTGAAGGAGTCAAGCTGCGCCCTCAAGGAATTAACGTGATAGAAGCTACATCGTTCCTAGAAGGTGCTGTATCAATGGACATGGATCATACAGGTAACCATTTTGAAAATACTCCGGTTTTTCCATCTGAAATTTCGCGCATTTACTAGTTTTATTTTAGAAAGTAAGAAATTTTACATATCCATTTGAAGTTATAAACTAGCAAATGATTTTTTCATAGCAAAAAATAAACTTATTAAGTGGAACGGGTCCAGCTGTGTACACTACACAATTGCTGTATTTCATGTTTATTTGACTATTTGAAATCATAACTTCAGTTGGCAATGTTAATGTTTTAGGTTGACACTAGAATGTAGGCGAAAGAAATCTGAATCTGAAAAAAATTAAAAGCAAGATTTTTCCGAGTTGTTGTCAAAGAATGCACACTGCAAAAAGTGCATATTGATTTCATGCCTTGCAAATAACACAATGTTAAATTTTGTGAGAAACTAGTTTCACACTAATTCATTCTACGCGTCCTGTGATCCTAAGGTAACACAATCTCCATTGAAACTATAATTATGTGAGTTATTTCGCACAGGTATGTTTGCAAGATAGCCCTACCATCCTGTGCGAGATTTATATTAAGTAATTAACACTTTGTGCCTGAGGTATAACATCCAGTACATTCTTTGCGGTGTCAAAACATTTGTGTGAGATGACAGGCACATTCCCAATCTCTAGAAAATCCAATATGGCTGCCGTGTTGTGAAATTGGTGCAATTCAGTGAATGATTGCCTTTAAGGAGATTAAAAACTTTCTAAAATGTCGTCTTTCTTAGCAATATATTTAAAATCCTTATATAACGTCACTGATTATTGGCGTCAAAACAGCATGAACCAAAGAGAATAGAATATATTAGAGTGGAATTTTAAAAATCCCTCGGTATGACTTTTGTCAGTCCCTTTCAGCCTGAAAGGGAGTTCAGAGTGTTACACTTTAAAGACGACTCTACGGAATTTATTTAGTTTGGTTTAAGTCTCATTTTTTGTGTGAGACTCTAAGTTTAGAGGATCAACATATTGTCAACATATTGTCTACATATTGTCAACATATTGTCTACTTATTGTCAACATATTGTCAACATATTGTCAATATATTGTTTAGAGGATCAACATATTGTCAATATATTGTCTACATATTGTCAATATATTGTTTAGAGGATCAACATACTGCCAATATATTGTCTACATATTGTCAACATATTGTCAACATATTGTCAACATATTGTTTAAAGGATCGACATATTGTCAATATATTGTCTACATATTGTCAACATATTGTCAATATATTGTTTAGAGGATTAACATATTGTCAATATATTGTCTACATATTGTCAACATATTGTCAACATATTGTCAACATATTGTCAATATATTGTCTACATATTGTCAACATATTGTCAACATATTGTCAACTTATTGTTTAAAGGATCAACATATTATTTGTTGATCAGATATGTCTTTGCAGATATTAATTGTATTCATTACAATGTTATATTGGGACAACGTCCTAACAGCTGCTGGTGTAACAGTTATCCTCTGACAGCGGAGCAAGGTATAAGCATCTGTTGCTGGTTTGGAATAAAGCACATCATTGTATCTCCATGAAAATGCGGGGACAAACCTAATATAAATAATCAAATCCATTCATTTTAAATGTCGTCTTCGACGTGTTGCTAAATGTCGTCGTTAGGGTACGTGTTCTCTAATAATTTAAAATTACCATGCATGAAATTGAAAAGATGACAATTTCCGATTTTCAACGGTACCCTTAAAAGCTTTGGAGAAATTATAAGAATTAAACACTTTTCGAGTCTGAAAAATGACAGTATCTTCAACATTTTTTATTAGATTAAGGTTTAAGGGTACCATGCATTGTAAATAAAGCATTAAATAATCTTTGTATGGAAGGTCACTTGAAAGTTCGCTTTCAGTCCCTTTAGTTTGTTCTTTCTAGAATAATGACGATGGAAATTTTAAAAAATTGTTAATTTTTTTTTACCTGGACTTCTAAATCCTTCGCCTCGTCTTCTTGACATTATAACAGTCGGTCCAGCATATATTATGTTACTTCCTGGTCCTGAAAAGGGATTTAAAAAGTTTAGTCTAGTTCAGCTTCTTTAGTCTAGTCCACGAACCATGAAAGTCGGAGAATAGTTTTAAATGGCTTCTTCCATAATTATTTAATACCAAAAAGAATAATAAAAAATATGACATGCCAGTCATATTATTCAGTGATAACCAGAAAACAATGGAATAGAAAGACGACATTATAGCAATACTTAAACGTCTTTAATATCTTATGTACAGGGTGTCCCAAAAAACATGGGAATTTAGTGACGAATTCGATATAGTCTTTGTTATGAATTAGCATTGTAATACCTAATTTCAAAAGCCATAATATTATTATGTCTGCTAGAGTTTATTTTATGAAAACGGTAAAAGACTGAATAGTGAAGACGGACAAGTTTACTCTGTTTGTATACTGCAATTTTCTTGTTTTACTAAGTACACCCATGCAGTCAAAACATAAACAAACAAAATGTGAACATAGCAGACGAAACTCTTACAGATTACAGCTTTCTCAGTAGGTATCACTATACTAAACCAAAGAAGACGATATTGAATTCGTCACTGAATTCACATGTTTATTGGGACACCCTGTAGTATGCGGAAGTCATTTCAAACTATTCACCAACTGTCATATGTTGCGTGGGACACCTTGTACATTGAACATGAAGGAATGAACATAATATATGTTCAGCTGAACCAAAGCTTAAAGTGTGGTTAAAATCTAAGTTAGTACAAATCTACACATTTTAGAGCAAATGAAAAAAAAACTTTAAAAATTTTAAATTTCATCATTTTGCCCAATTATTTATAACTTAATTAGCGCAAATGAACAGATTTTAGTAAAAACATACATTACAAATGAACATACATTTTTGTACAAAGAGCATTGTTTAGTACAAATGAACGTACATTTTTGTACAAAGAACATAGTTTAGTACAAATGAACGTACATTTTTGTACAAAGAACATAGTTTAGTACAAATGAACATACATTTTTGTACAAAGAACATAGTTTAGTACAAATGAACGTACAAAGAACATAGATTAGTACAAATTAACGTACATTTTTGTACAAAGAACTTTAGTACAAATCAACAAAAATGTTCAATCGAAGTAAAACTTTAAAAATCATCTGTTTGCCCATTATAACTTAATTTGTACAATTGAACAAATGTCATTTATAGAACTGTTCAATTGCACTAAAATTCAATTACACTGAAAATAGAGAAAATAATCAAGTGCGTTTTTTTATTGAAATGTTCATGTATTGTGAACAACGTTCAATTGCACAATACATGTACAAAAAAGCGCGTTTAAACAAATTTCATGGAACTGTGTACATTTGCACTCAAAACTAGAAAACAATGAAATTAGTGCGTTTGCACAAACCCCCAAAAAATCGGTTTGTTTGAACAATTTTCAGTTTAATAAATGTAAATACATCTCTTATTGTAAAATTAATATCAGAAAAAACCTTACATACAGGATTACCAACAAAGGATGAGACTGTATAAACGACCAGAAACTCTTAAAATATTATTATTCAAAGATTAAATTCTTTTTTTTGCCTTGAACATGTATTTTAACATAATACAGCCATTTTAATGATTGTGCAAAGTAAGAAAAATTCTACCGTTGATGGGGATTGGGGAATCATAAATATAAGGAAACAGACAGAGCAAATTCCATAAATATAAGGAAACAAACAGATTTAATTCCGTACAGTCGTCTCTGAAGTCTTTGTGGGTAACCCTGTATCTTATTCTTTATATTAAAAATAAAACAGACAATTAGAAACATAGATCTGTCTTAAGTGCAACAAAATAATGTTTTAATTCAAACCTGTAAATTGATTTCCAGACAAAGACGACATTATACGGGAAATGTATATTGGGTGTTGGACAGCATTCAATTCAGTATTTCCGCCTAAAGTGTAAGTTTTAAAAAACGTTCGTTTTTTTAAAACTATCGTTTTTGCAAAGTTCGTCGTTTTGTTATCGAAAGTAGGTCGTTTTAATTTTTTAAGTGATCGTTAACGACGACCCTTCGTTAACGATCGTTAACGACCTTAAGACAAAATACATTTTTTGATAGGAAACAAAAACTTGCAAAGACAACGTTCATAAACTTATCTTTATGAAAAAAAAAATTATATTAATGATATGATATAAATCATATGATAAAAAATCATATTTCTTAAAACGAAACGATCTGTTTTTAGAAGAAAAAAAATTTATAGTTTTACGATTGTTTTAAAAAACGATTAACGACCCTACTCTGATTTTAAAAACAATAAATCAGCTTTTTATATCTGTAAATCTCACCAAGGAAAAAGTGATGAAAACTTTTGAAAAGGTTTAAAATAAAGTCATTTTGGTAATTTTGGTTGCCAACATAATTTGTGTGTTTTATGATTTTTACTTTAGGACATTTTTGTAATCTGACTTTTTTTATCGCCCTGCAGTTAGTCTAGTGGGACACGGCCCTTCAATGAGTTATTTCCAGTTCTTTTTTGTTTTGTAAAAACGTAATTTTTTACCGTTGAAAGTGTTGAAGCTTCTGTAAGTGTATTGCGAGGATCTACACTGTACTTGACACTGAGAAAGGTGAAGGAGTAGGAGTACAGGAAGATAGTGGAGTACTACCATAGGAAGGAGAAGAAGTCGTTTAAGCATGATTCTAGGAAATGAGATGTTTGTACCTGTACACTAAGAATTAAACTGACCTGGCCCACCCGCATCTGTATGTAAGAAGGGGAGGTGTGGGTAAACGTAGAATTATGGATTGAATAATAGATGAACATTGACCGTTTATTGACGTATATGGTTTAGAAAACAGACATTTTTTAAAAGACAACAAACTAGTTTTTTGAAAATCTAAAGAAATGCGACCGACCACATTTCGATTACATTTTTAGGGTTAAAACTAAATTTTAGAGTAAAATATTTAACGACGACCTTAAAGTAACACTTTTTAGTACCAAAAAACGACGTTTAGTGGGTGAAAAAGTAATTAACATTTTCGGAAATGGTCCCATTTTTTTATTTTTAATATTTATTTGTACAAAACAAAGATTAATGGAAATAACTCACTAAGAATCATATGTTCCTCTGGACAATACTGCAGGGAGAGAAAAAAGTCATAAAAATGTCATAAAGTTAAAAGCATGTTTCACAAAAAATACGTTGGCAACCAAAATTACGATGGGAACTATGGGGGCGGGCTCCCCCCCCCCTTGATTATGAAATCTATGATTTCTAGTGGAGGGGGGGGGGAGGGGTTCAGGCTCTAATGCGTGCTGAGCCCACCCCCTGGAATTCTTTTCTACACCCGTGTTTAATATATTCTTTTGCAATATTGTACCAAAGAAAATACCAATATAGTAACCTTTCCATCTTGAGGCTTTAGACCTCTTATATATGCTATGATTTCTGATAAAAGGACTGTAGTTGTAATTTAAAGTTTAAAGGACTGTAGTTGTAATTTAAATTTTTAAGAGACTGTAGTTGTAATTTAAAATTTTAAGGGACTGCAGTTGTAATTTAAAATTTAAAAGGACTGTAGTTGTAATTTAAAGTTTTAAGGGACTGTAGCTGTAATTTAAAGTTTTAAGGGACTGCAGTTGTAATTTAAAGTTTAAAGGGACTGTAGTTGTAATTTAAAGTTTAAAGGAACAGTAGTTGTAATTTAAAGTTTAAAGGGACTGTAGTTGTAATATAAAGTTTTAAGTGACTTTAGTTGTAATGTAAAGTTTATATGCATCGGGCTTTACATTTAAATTGAAATTATACATTTTACGCAGAGCAGTTTCATATTCTTAGTTCTAAGCTCTGAAAAGGCTGGAGGGTCTAGAAAAAATATATCCTGGAAAGGGACATATTATGTATTATTTTCATTTATCTTTTATTTATTATTTCCTTTTTGAGTAAGGGGGGGGGGCCGTTTTGTTAACATAAACTTAAAAGTATTGGTCTGAGGCTGTTCAAAGTATTTAAAAAATCAACGAAAACTGCAAATTTGTTTTACTTTCTTTAACCTGTTCTTTTTTATCATTCTGACATTGTCTCTCCCTCCTTCTCTTTTTGCTTTTTTTGCTACTCCCCCTATACTTTCTTTTATCTGATCTTTCGACTCCCTTTATTTTCTTTTTTCTTTGTCCTTTCTACTTCCCCTGTTCTAATTATTATTACTTTTTACTCTCTACTCTTCAAGTCCTTTCAACTCTTTCTTCACTTTTAACTAATTCTGTCCTTTCTGTGCTACCTGTCCTTTCTAATCTTCCTATTCTTTCTTATCTTCCTGTCCTTTTTAATCTTCCTGTCCTTTCTAATCTTCTAGTCCTTTCTATGCTACCTGTCCTTTCTAATCTTCCTGTCCTTTCTAATCTCCCTGTCCTTTCTAATCTCCCGGTCCTTTCTAATCTTCCTGTCTTTTCTAATCTTCCTGTCCTTTCTACTCTCCCTGTCTTTTTTGATCCTTTCTATCCTAGCCTAACCTCTCTACTCTCCCTATTATTTTTATTCCACTTGTACTTTGTACTCTTCCTGTCCTTTTTACTACCCTTGTCCATTCTACTCTCTTGTCCTTTCTACTTTCCTGTCTTTTTGCTCTCCCTGTCCTTTCTACTCTTTGTCTTTTTACTCGCCCTGTTATTGCTAGTCTTTGTCTTTTCTCCACCTTAGTTTCTCCATGTATATTGTCTTAAAGGTTTGCTAGTTAAAAGATTGTTAAAAGACCTAATTTAAGGAGGTGTGAAAACTCTTTTTTGCTCCGAGGGTTTTTATATTGCTGTTAGCTAGACCTGATCTAGGCTCGGTTAAATATACGTAGTTGGGTTCTCTAGTTGAGTTTAGGGCTAATAAAGGTTTAATTGCTCCGTAAAGCCTCAATTAAAAGCTTAAATACAGTTGTGAAGGTTGTTAGAGATAGATATGTTGGCAGGAGGTGGCGAAATATCCTTTTTATTGATATCATCAAGTAAAATGGAAACTTCTAGGCGAAAACATGCCGCCATTTTGATGACGTCACGAGGTTGAACAACCAATAGAAGTCGAGCAGAGGAAATAGTAGACTTCCGCAGTAGAGTAGACTTTAGCGGTATACTGGGAGTTGAGTTCGGTAGATAACTCAGATCTGGCGGAGTTATTAGGAGAGCTGGGGGTATACTTCTAGACTAGCACCAGGCCTATTGGTTCATTACAATCCCGCGCACTCTACCCCCCCCCCCCCTCAGCCATAGCCCCACTCCAGTCATCCTACAGTGCTTCTACATACTCAACACTGTACACATACTCAAGTATATAAACTAGAACCTGGTACATAGGCCGCCATATTTGCCGCCGGGTGCTCAACACCATATATGGCGTGAAGAGTGAAAATGAATAACGCTAGCTTTGCTGGGTCTGGGGCTGGAGGGGGCCCTGTGCCCCTGTTTCATGGAGGGGCTGTCACCACCGTGGCGAGTATGCACCACCTTCAGGAGGCCATTATGTCACGGATGCGCCCCTTCGGTCTTACGGTACAACTTTAACTAACCCAGTACATAACTCTGATCTTATATGGTGCATTCTGTACAAAACTTTAATCTTACAGTACATATCTTTGATCTTCCTTCCATTGATCTTATGGTCCATAATTTTTATCTTTGTTTACATAATAATACTGCAACATATCATTAATTTCATGGTAGAAAACCTAAAACAACATGATGGCACTAAAAACGCATCACGGTATCATGCTAACATGAGTAAATATATTATGTATGTACACTATTGTACAGAGTTAGAATTTATACATGTACCATGCCATAGTCTTACAAAAGTATGGCATGGACTATATACAGTTTACAACAGCAAAATTTACTATAGTTAATTGTAATAAATATAATAATGATAATATAATTACTATATTAATAATAATGATAAGATAATCACTATATTAATAATAATGATAAAATAATTACTATATTAATAATAATGATAAAATAATTACAATACTAATAATAATGATAAAATAATTACTATGGCAATAATAATTAGATATAATAACCAATATGAAAATAATAATTCAATAAGAATTATTATCGATTCACTGAATGTCAATGTATTTTAATATCTGATGAAATATCTTAGTTTCCTGAAATATTTTCTGCTTAAAATATTTTTTTAGCAAACCTTTCGCCTGGATATTAAACTTTCTCTTTAAACCAAGCAATTCAAGTTCCCAACCAAAATTTGATATTATATAAAGGGATTTCTGTGTTATGGACGGACATACAAACAAACAGAGATTACTGCCTTTTATATATTTATATGACATTCAATAAATTAACATATTCTTATGAAGAATAATATAATTGCCACGAAATTCGTAATCGACGCTTAATTTCAAATGATAACATTGCCTGATTTACAAGTGAACCCTTGAAATCTTAATCTGATTAAAAATGAGGAAGAAACCATCGTTTATGTTTATTTCTGATAATTGCTCCATTGTTTCTTAACTTACCAGCAAGAAATTCGCAAGTCACTTTTACAGAAAACCCACAAAGGAAAAAATAAAGGGTTAAAAATGGAGGGTCACTTAGAAAAATGCAAAAACTAAATCTTTTATTTTCCCCGGAAATTCCAAAATTATTATGAATTGTAATTTGTGTAAGGTCTATAATTTAAAACAGCCCTTAATGGCTAAACAGGTCCTGTGTGATCCTGGCTAATGAATTTCATGTATCCATTATGTTTATAAAATAATTAAATTTATTTTTGAAATGTTTTATCATTAGTTCTTAAATCAATAATTGTTAATCTTGGATTTGACATCGGAGATCTGGAAGATGATATTGATATTGTTGGTGAATCTACACTGCAGAAGCAGAACAGCATTTCAAGTAATCAGCAAGGTAAGGGACTCATCTTCAGATCTAGCTACAGCGAGGTGGGTTTATATCATCTTCAGATCTAGCTGCAGTAAGGAGGGTTTATATCATCTTCAGATCTAGCTACAGCGAGGTGGGTTTATATCATCTTCAGATCTAGCTGCAGTTAGGAGGGTTTATATCATCTTCAGATCTAGCTGCAGCGAGGAGGGTTACTAATTCTCTTCAACTTAAACCGACGCCCAAGAGAATTGATTCAACCAAATTGGTTCAACTACGAAGAAGCTAGTTGAACTACTTATCACTATTTATTTAATCTATCAATGTCCGAATTTAATGATTATGAGCCGTGTCTCTAATCTGACAAAAACCGGTTTCATTTGAGCGTCGGCTTAAATCTTGAAACATTGAATACAATTTTAAATGGAACCAACCATATATGAGCCGCGTGTCAAATTTAAGCCGTGGCTCAAATTTCTTTAAATTCGGTCTCTGGAAACCCATTTGCAACCCCCCCCNTTCAAGTAATCAGCAAGGTAAGGGACTGTTGTTGATTTATTTTATTTGTTAATCTAGGTCTGATAAGAGTTCTTCCCTATTTTCTCCTGGACAAAACCTCTTCCCTCGCCTCTCCCCCTCCTCCTCCAGATCCTCTAACTCTCCCCTCATCTACCCCTCAACCTCCCCTCACCCAGCACGATCCTCACCAGATCCTCTGCACTCATGTAAGACGGATGAGAACTCGAACACGGAGTCTGGTTTGGTTTACTCCAGGTACCAGGGCGAGCAGGAGAGTAGACAAGGACGGGTTGAGGAGGAGAGAAGAGGAGAAGATGAGTTAACACCTAAACGTGAGTTTATTATAACAATATCAACCAACGGTACCCATTAAACGGTGGAATAGAAAACAACTTATAATGAGTCCTATCTGTATTTGATGTTGATGTTATGTTTAACCATGTTTAACGTACAAGCTCGCACGCGTTCATTGGACTATTTTTAAATCCTAACTTGAGTTTAAAATCGTCTTCTTATTCCACAGTTTCATGGGCCCAACTTTAGAATCATATACATTCAATTTAGAATTATTCTAATAGAGATTTGATAAGTTATCCCCCCCCCCCCCCTCGATTCTGCCCATCAAGAGCATAGTGAAATATAAAAACGTAGCTGCATTAGATTATTGTATTAAACTAGAGAATTGTAATGAATTTATACACATATTTTTGGATTTTAAATTATTGGAAGTGTCATAAAGTTCACTACTAATACGGCAGTGCGCTTGATTGGATAGAACTCAGTAAACCGTACCGTGTTAAAGGAATCGTTCACGATTTCAAAATAAATCATCGAGAACCAATAAAATTTAATCCACAGTCCAATTTTTAAATTCAATTTTTTCTGAACTTCAAATGAAAGTACCATTTAAAGGAATTAAGTATTTGCCACAAACTCAAGTTCTTTAATCCCTATATCCTTGCAACCTGACATGCAGTCATGAAATATCTAAGTCTACGGCATTGGGGTTCAAAGATATAGGGGTTTGAAAATCAGAGTTTGTGGTAAAGACTCAATTGTTTTGAGTTTATCAAAGATAGAATTGGTATCAATAAAAAAATGTCAATAGTGTTTTCGTTTCGGAAACAATAATTGAAAATAATCTATTGTTAACAAGACAAGTCCCTAGAAAGGAATTGAGTCTTTGCAACAAACTCTGATTTTCTAATCCCTCTATCTTTAGATTCCAATGTCGTAGACCTTTGATATTTCAAACTATGAGTTCTGTTAGATCAAATAATATAAGTTTGAAATATCAAAGGTTTACAACATTGGGTTTCAAAGATATAAGGATTAGAAAATCAGAGTTTGTGGCAAAGAATCAACTTCTTACGCCTACGTAGTCCCTTAAACATTGAAAAGCTGAATAAATAATGTTTTTGTACAGCTATAGGATTTCAGAAGAAAAATGGCAATTTTAAAATTTGGAATCTGTCTCTTTAAGTGTTCAGGGTTTAGTCCCGAATGAGATTGGATATTTGTATGAAATATTGCTTCAAGTTGAAGCCCAGCAAACTTTCATAACTTTCATATTTTCATATTTTCATATTCTAAATTTCGTAAAATATGTTCTCGTAATGGAGGGATTTTATCCAGAAGGAACAATAACTTATATTTTCAAATTATAAACATTGTGTGACCTAGTGTTCTAGACCCAGTAATGTATTCAAGACGTAAAAAGGAAATAAAAACAGGATGTCACGTCATTCAATTCAAAGTGTACACAATTGTTTCAATTTCGAGGATTTATTCGGATTTAGAATTTCTCACTTTTTTTCTTTGGTTTCGTTGTCTTTTTTGATAATACTGAATCATTTGAAAGTTTTCTTTCCTGAAATTTATTTTATTTTTATTTTTTATTTTAATTATGAGTTGTTTTGCACAAAAAAACAAGATAAAAACTCTTTTTAAGAAAATTCCACTTTGCGGATTAGTTTTTGTTTCAAAGTTTCCTCATTTTCTGGCGTTTATTTTTATTTTATTTTATGTTTTAAATAAATCAAGATGTCTGCGTCAATTGATTTTTGAAACTTACTTATTATTTTCTTTATTTGACTTTATTGTCTGTTTTCTAATCCCATATCTTGGTAACCGGATAACCTTTGCCTTTTAAAACTATGAATTATGTAAGATAAAAAATCTACGTTTGAAATATCAAAGGTTTACACAATTAGGTTGCAAATATATAGGGATTAGAAAATTTAAATTTGTGACAAATACTCGATTCACTTATTAAAAATAAAAATTTGCCCTTTATTCGAATTGTTTGTTTAAAGCTGTGCAATATTTCTTTATAAGGATGTTTTGTTGCAAACCATGGCGTCTGCTCTGTTCCAATATTTGGTTTGCAATCTGATATACGGAAGTATCATCACCATGTGTATTTACAAACAAATATACAAACAAACTTTTAATGCTACAAAATATATTTATGCGAAAACAAATAAAGAGCGTTGAATAATTTTGAATTGATGATCTGAGGATATTAAAAAGGAATTGAGTCTTTGCCACAAACTTAAATTTTCAAATCCTTTTTATGTTTGCAACCTGATGGTGTTAACCTTTGATATTTTAAACTCAGATTATTTGATCTTACATAATTCATAGTTTGAAATGTCTTAGGTCTACGAAATTGGGTTGCAAAGATATAAGGATTAGAAAATCAGAATTTGTGTATTCTCTGTCACACAAAACAACCAAGCTAAGAATAACGAGGGCTGGAAAGCCAGCCGCAACATTTTTTCCTTTGAGCCGCATTTTTCTCATATTTTTTGTCCGAGCCACCTCTGAATGTTCATCCTTGAATCCTTGTCGATTTTTTGATTGTTAGAACCCTTATTAAAAAATCTAATTACCTTCGAGAATAAATGAAATATTGAATTTTTTCAACAATCGAAGAAATAAGTTTCAATATAATTACAATTTCAAGTTTTATGTTCATAAAATATATTTCTTTTCTACGGGGTTATTCCCGGAACAGAGTTTTTGAATTTAAACCTTTTCTTTTTCACCTAAAAACAAATAAATTAACAAAGAAGTACTTTGACTCATGATTCATATCCATAGTATGAAACTCTGTTGAGTCTATTCAATTCAAAATTATATAAAGATTGCTCTCTTCTTAGTTTATTAAAAAATATTATAGAAAAGCATATTTTGACTTAACCATCTCTTTTCATAAAGATTTTCTCATTTTCTCATTAAAAGGTTGTCCATACTCTCCATACACTAAGCACCAAAATCGAACTCAATGGTGTCATTAAAACAATCATAATTTAAGAAATCCAAAGTGGTAATTTTGATACAAAAATACAAATAGATCACGAGATGTCGTTCATACTAACCCTGCTGCAGAAGCCCAAAGGGGTTACGCGCATGCTCTCTCTCTGTCTTGTGCATTTAATACAGGATGGGCGTGACTTATTTAGACTCCTGCCGCAGGAATATTGAAAAACCCATAAATGTTGAAAAGAATACTTCAAGTGTTCTATCTGTTATTAATCTATGTATCTAGGTATAAGATTAACTGGAGTATACGGGTGTCCTATATGTGGGATTGGTCTAACTGCACAAGAAGCTGAATCACATTATGCTCAGGTAGAAAGAGAGTGTTTCCTTTATAGCAAACACGTTTTTTTACTTTTATCATAATAATAATAATAATGGTCAATTTATTTTTTCGATGCACATAATTTACAATATGTGTACATGAATTATTTCTAAAATTTTAAACAATATTAAACATAATTGTTTGAATATTTTAAAATTTCAAACACTTTGTAAATACTTTTGAACATTGTTCTTCATCAGCAAAATTTTTTTACTTTGACTGTCTTAGGAGTAGGGTTGTTAATCGTTTTTGTAAACGATATTTAAACGATCGTTAAACGATCGTTTTTTGTTTCGTTTTCAAAAACGATCGTTTCGTTTTCGGAAAAAAACGATCGTTTTTAAAAACGATTTTGTAAATACTTTTGAACATTGTTCTTCATCAGCAAAATTTTTTTACTTTGACTGTCTTAGGAGTAGGGTTGTTAATCGTTTTTGTAAACGATAGTTAAACGATCGTTAAACGATCGTTTTTTGTTTCGTTTTCAAAAACGATCGTTTCGTTTTCGGAAAAAAACGATCGTTTTTAAAAACGACCCACTCGTTTTGAACTTTTAGAAAACGAATAGCGATCGTTTTTGAAAACGATAATTTTTATTAAAACGATTTGCGACCGTTTTTTATACGATTTTTTTTCAAAAAACGATCGTTTTTGAAAAAACAAAATTATTGACAATTATGTTAACGATCGTTAACAAAGGGTCGTCGTTAACGATCGTTAACGAAGGGTCGTCGTTAACGATCGTTAACGAAAGGTCATCGTTAACGATCGTTAACGAAGGCTTGTCGTTAACGATCGTTAATGAAACGACGAAATTTATCAACGATCGTTTTTGGAAAAAAATTACATGCAACTTTATTGAATGTCATCTTACATGAAGTTTAACAGTTGTGGAGAGTTAAAACTCCTTGATATTTTCTTAAAAACTACTCAATGATATGTACAGATGCCTTTCAGGTCGGTTTCCTCTCTTCGTTAACTATTGTTAACGAAGGGTTGTCGTTAACGATCGTTAACGAAAGGTCGTCGTTAACAATCGTTAAAGAAGGTTGTCGTTAACGATCGTTAACGAAGGGTCGTCGTTAACGATCGTTAACGAAACGACGAATTTTATAAAAACGATCGTTTTGAAAAACGAGCATTTTGAAAAACGATTGTTTAAAAAACGACCATTTTTAAAAAACGAACTTTTAAAAAAACGATCGTTTTTAAAAACGATCGTTTCTTTTTCGATTTTTCGTCGTCGTTTTCATAACGAAACGATCCTTTTTCTGAAAAATGAAAACGTTAACATCCCTACTTAGGAGTTAGATTACTTGGGAAAAGTGTCTCTGGGTGTTCTGCGAACCATTTCATCTTCAGATCTAGCTGCAGCGAGGTAGGTTTATTTCAGCTCCAGATCTAGCTGCATGTAGGTAGGTTTATTTAACTTCAGATCTAGCTGCAGCGAGGTAGGTTTATTTCATCTTCAGATCTAGCCGCAGCGAGGTGGGTTTATTTCATCTCCAGATCTAGCTGCAACAAGGTGGGTTTATTTCATCTTCAGATCTAGCTGCAGCTAGGTGGGTTTATTTCATCTCCAGATCTAGCTGCAGCTAGGTGGGTTTATTTCATCTCCAGATATAGCTGCAGTAAGGAGGGTTTATATCATCTTCAGATCTAGCTACAGCGAGGTGGGTTTATATCATCTTCAGATCTAGCTGCAGCTAGGAGGGTTTATATCATCTTCAGATCTAGCTGCAGTAAGGAGGGTTTATATCACCAGATATAGCTGCAGTAAGGAGGGTTTATATCATCTTCAGATCTAGCTACAGCGAGGTGGGTTTATATCATCTTCAGATCTAGCTGCAGCTAGGAGGGTTTATATCATCTTCAGATCTAGCTGCAGTAAGGAGGGTTTATATCATCTTCAGATCTAGCTACAGCGAGGTGGGTTTATTTCATCTTCAGATCTAGCCGTAGTGAGGTGAGTTTATTTAATCTCCAGATCTAGCTGCAGCGAGGTGGGTTTATATCATCTTCAGATCTAGCTGCAGCTAGGAGGGTTTATATCATCTTCAGATCTAGCTGCAGCGAGGTGGGTTTATATCATCTCCAGATCTAGCTGCAGCGAGGTGGGTTTATATCATCTTCAGATCTAGCCGTAGCGAGGTGAGTTTATTTATTCTCCAGATCTAGCTGCAGCTAGGAGGGTTTATATCATCTTCAGATATAGCTGCAGCGAGGTGGGTTTATTTAAACCTAAAAAGCTATTCAACTAATGTTCTAAACCGGGGCTGACTTTAAAGTATCGTCAAGCATGTTTTTTGGTTTTACTTCACCAACCAATATTATTTATTTTCTGGTTCAGGTATAGCAGGACTTTTTTCGCCTCTAAAGGGGATTTTTATGAGATTCCGAAAATCATTAATAAAATTTTAAAATGTTCTAACACATGCTGTTATTTGTACTATTTTTAATGCATAATTTTTCTTCAGAAAATTCAGACTTTTATCCATTAGATGCCATTGTAATTTATTTCAAGTTCAATATTTCGATAAGATTATTAAAAAAAATGTTAAATACTGAACATTCCCTTTAACACTTGTTATTTTAGGTATTCCTGTGTTTCAGATCAATCTCCTAGATCAAGATGTGATGTAAGTGCTTTTAACAAAATATTAAAGGGACTGTAAACATAATTTCAAGGGACCCCAAATGCAAAGTTTCCAATGCCCGATTGACAAGGTTTGTCTGATCAAGTATGAAATAAATATCAATGTTTATAATTTAGAAAAATGATTATTTTCAATTGTGGTTGTGAATCGGGCATTGCTATTTTTGTATGGAGGGTTACTAAAAATGACGTATACAGTCCCTTTAAAGGGACTGTATACGTAACTGTAGGTTGTAGATCATTGACGGAACTTAGTTAGAATTAGGTTTACAATCCCTTTAGCTTTACAAGTCCCAGTAAGTTGGGTGTTTTGTTTATATTCTTATTTCTTACATGCGCGCTTAATATTATTCAAAACCTACCAGGCGTTCCCAGCCCAGGAAACTTTAGACAATATTAAGCCACAAAACAGGGTTTTGGCAAGAGAGAGGGACCAGCGTATGATTTAAAAAGAATACCTGGTGTCCTAAACCCTGTTTTGATTGCTATTACTCTCTTAAGTTTGCGGCTCAGGGCTCACACTGGGTTTGAAATTAGGGAATTAGGATTCCTTTAAGAAGCCTGGAAGCTGAAATATACCAAGTTTTTATCTGGCACATCTCTCCCTTCTCTCTCCAATCTTTTCAACAAGTTAACAAACTGAAATTAGATTAATTTCGGGATCAAAGCTCGGTCCAGACAGGGGCCAGGGGGGTCTTTAGTGGTTCTATTCCGCTCTTGGTTGCTTTTGATGGATTTAGTATGAAACATTAATTTTCTTTTATGGCCATGTTTAACCTAATTCTTATACAATTTTTTTTGAGAACAAATGCGCCAAACTTAAAGTAATCAAAACTGTTTTCCAATTCTCTAATTTTAAATAGCTTTTTTTCAGAGTTTTCCTTAGAATCCATTTTTTTCTCTCGCTGCCCTTTTTTTTAACGGCAAATTTATTTTCTTCAGTGCCATCTTTGTTTCTCAGTCACCATGTTTTTTTTTCTCACTGCCATCTTGTTTTCTTCTCACCCACACTCCACTAAAACCAACTATTTCTTCAGTCAGTGTTCAACACCATCTTGTTTTCAGACAATCATTTTTTTTCCGCAGTGTAATTTTGTTTTCAGACCGCCATCTTGTTTTCAGACCGCCATCTTGTTTTCGGACTGCCATCTTGTTTACAGATCACCATCTTATTTTCTCACCACCATATTGTTTTCTCACCACCATCTTGTTTCTTAACGTCATCTTGTTTTTCATCTCTATCCTGTTTTCCTCAGATGCCATCTTATTTTATCACGACAACTATTTTGTCTGCAAAGGGAAGCATTTAAATTTGTTCACATTTATTTTAAATTTGATAAAATCGCTTTCCGGTTCTCCAAATTTCATTAATTTAAAAGATATGTGTTTTAGAGTTTCTTGAGAATCCAAAGAAACAGACAGAGCAGGGTTCGAGTCAAACTTTGCAGAAGAGCAGGGCGGAGACAGGATGAGGTTTGGACTTTTAAATTTTGGAAAATTAATTAAATTAATTCAACAAAATTACAATTTTAAATAATTTATTGCGAAAAAAACTGCCTTTTGGTGCACGGATTTATTTTCTAAAATTCAGGTTCTTGATGACGACATCGGAGATCTGGAAGATGATATTGATATTGTTGGTGAATCTACACTGCAGAAGCAGAACAGCATTTCAAGTAATCAGCAAGGTAAGGGACTGTTGTTGATTTATGGATTGACATTTAATTGATTTTCTGATTTTTAGGTTTGTATGGACCTCCGCAATTTACAGAAGAAGATTTAGAAGTATTTCGTAAGAACAGGGGAAAAGAAATTGATGTGCCAAAGTCAGATGAAGAAACTGACATAAAGCTTGAAGACATTGATGTTACTGCAGTTAAGAAAGAAGATGTTCCTGAAAGTATTGATGAGAAGAAAACAGATCTGAAGACCGATGAAAACTGCTTGAATGAAAACAGAAGAAGTGGGAAGGTGCTCTGCTCTTCTTGTGATGTAAGAATGATATAAAGCGTAATTTCAAGTGACCCTCCGATTCACAACGATACCCTTGAAACCTTTATCTGACCAATAATGTGGAAGATATTGTCGGTTTTTAGGTTTAAATGTGTTTAACATTGATAATTCTTATAGTTTGCCTGCAGTAGAAATGCGTAAGTCACTTTTGTGGAGAACTCCTGGAAAATAATCAGTTTTCAAAATGATTAACATGGATATATAATTTATACTTGATCAGACAAAGAGTTTAAGGGTACTGTTGTGAATCAGGCATTGCCATCTTTGATTAGAAGTTCTTTTGAAATAATGCTTACAGTCCCTTTAAGATATTATATTAAGCTGTTTTTTGCAGTTTGAACTAGGGCTGGCAAACTTTTGAAAATTAACAGAAAATTCTATTTACATATGGAAATAATGATTACAGTTATTTGTTAGAAACAAAATAGGCTGAAATTTGTTGAGGGAACCCTAGAGTACCCCGGGGGTAAAATGGGCTAAACAAATTTAATTATTTTCTTTTCAAAATTCTAAATTGTTTTGTATTCAATTTTTTTCAAAATTCTAAATTATTTTTTCCTGTGTTTTTTAAAATTCCACGGGCAACGCCGGTCACATCAGCTAGTTGTCAATAAATGGAAAACTGTTAACATGCCCACTTCTAATTTTAAAAATAAATTTTTGTAAATCTTATAGCATCATATACTGTTTAGGATGGGCTGGAAGAAGCAGTTGTATCTCTTCAATGTTGGCATATACAATGTAAAACTTGTTGGCTTTCTCAATTGGTAAGGATTTAGTTTTAAGAAAATATTGTTTTCCATTAAAAAGAATTTGTTGATTATCAAAAGTGAATTGATTTTCAATATTCAGGCCAACACCCAGATTTGCATGAGATGTGAAATGGCTTGCGCTCCTAAACATCTTAGAAGAGTTTATCTGTGATCCTGTTTCTAGTTCTTAATGTCACCGCCAGGGGTAATAACTCAGTACATGGTCCTTTTCTAGTTCAAAAAGTCAACGCCAGGAGAATCAGCTGATTCCATCATTTTCTAGTTCAAGAAGTCGCCGTTAGAAGATTCAACTGATCACAAAGAAGCTTGGTACTGTTTCTAGATTAAGAAATCACTGCCTGATTAAAGGCAGCGTGGCTTAGTTTCACCCTTCTCCTTGGATAAAGTATAAAATCAAATTATTAAATCTTAATGTTAAATGTCACTTAATTAACAGTACTTTGCCCATACTTATCATTAATTTACAATTATTGTCACACGTTCTTTATTGGAAATTTCTCTAATTGTTGATAAGGGTGGTTTGTGTAAAGAGAAACCAGTAAAGACCCTCATAAAATGCACCCTTGTAAAAACGACCCTTTTTTCTCAGCGTGATTATATAAAACAAAAAAGTGACTTTAATTATAATTTACAAAACTAAAACCAAAGTTAGAAAAAAGAAGAAAAATACATTTTTTCCTTAATTAATTTACAAGACATACACAAATATTTATAACAATTAGCTATTGTAATATTATAATATTATACTTGGCTTTTTTAAACATGCTCTGTGATTCAACCCCTCATATAAAAACATCAGATAACTACCCCACTCCCCCCTCCTCTCCAATTAGAAACTTGGTGTTAATTGCACCAAAGTTGATCCAACTTATTAAACTGAATTCAAACCTCGGTAATTAATTAATGCATTCATTAATTAATTAATTTCTAAATTTATTAATTAAACATAACCTTGTTAATCCCCGACCCCTTAGTTTCTTTGACTAACCAAATTATACTAATCCATAAATTTTGACATCCAGGGTTACCCAAAACTGATAAAACTTCAAACTCTTCAGAGAGACGACAGTTCGGATTATGTTTAGTCTTTTTTATTATATAAATGGTGCCCTGCAGCTGAAAACTTGTTTATCTTTAAGCTCGTGGGTAACCCTGAATGAACTGAAATGAAGTAAGAATGTATTTTGTACAATGTACAATTTACAATGTATACATTGTACATAATATGTGCAACTTTTGATTTTTTATAATTTGTTTTAATTAACATTATTACCAAAGAAAATATATAATCTAATATTTATGCACTTAAAGGAGCCTGCAAACGTAATTTCAAATGACCCCCCATATGCAAAGATTTCAATGCCCGATTCACAACGGTACCCCGAAAAAGATTTTTCTGATCAAGTATGAATTAGATATCCATGTTTATGATTTGGAACACTAATGACTTACAAGTGTGGTTTCTTCAAAAAAGTGACTTGCGCATTTTTACTGCAGTCAAACAAGCTAAGGGTTTAAAGGGTTTCACGCACCTCTGCCCCTTTAGAAAAGGTAAGTTCAACCTATGTGAAGCATAAAGTCTGACCGCGTCAACCTTGTTGCACCGGCCAGTCCTGTCCATAGAGCTGGGTACAGTACAAACTGGGACTGGAATGGTTGACCCGGTTCGGAAATTCAAATGTACTACGGCTGCCTGTGGTTTGTAAATAGGGTAAGCTGTATCTTTGCATTGAGGGTTACTTAAAATTTGGCTTACACGTAATAGCTCTTTATCCAACCCCTATTTATAGAAAAATGTAAAATATCCTCATAATTGACATAAAAGCTATTTTTTCCGATAGATTTTTGAATTATGTCGGCCATTGGTGTTTTTTAGATTTCTGTTTAATTTTCTAAGCAACATGATTCACACTTCAAGTAACATTCCATGTATTTCAAGTAACATTCCATGCAAAGATGGCAGTGTCATATTCACAACGGTACCATTATCTGATGAATGATGCGGAAGATGGAAGATATTGTCATTTTTTCTAGGCTTTAAAGTATTTCATTCTGATTATTCAAACATGCTTTCCTGCATTAGAAATGAGCAATTCTCTTTTGTAGAGAAACCACATTAAAAAATAATTGATCGACTTTTAAACTTATTAAACATTGGATATCAAGTTCATACTTAATCAGACAAAGTTTTTAATGGTACTCTTGAGAATCAGGCATGGATGGTCACCTTAAATTACCCTTACGGTCCCTTTTTAAATTAAATACTCGCCTCAAACTCTATTTTCTAAACTTACGATTTTGTGTTCTGAGCCCGCAATTAAAAAAATTTGTGAAAATACGACCCGGGTCTAAGCTGTCGTTGGTCCTTATTTGCGGCTTGAGCTTTCGGATTCAAGCTGTATCTTATATTCTATTTGGTGGATTTTCATGGTAGGAATTGGCGCATTCCAGGTTTTGATGAGAACAAGACTCAACATTGAGCCGTATTCTCCACTAAAACCAATCAAGGTCGGTTTTATTTTTATTGGGCCCAACTCCTTAGGTTGAGCCGAAGATCTTGCAGCTGTTAATCACATGAAACAAGCTGTCGTCAGAGTTAGGTCGAGATTAAATATAAAATATAAAGGCTTTGTATTATCAAGTTGCAAAGATATAAGTGCAGAAAATTTTAGTTAGAGGCAAGTAATCAATTTGTGGATTAAAACTAAGCCATAGTTTTTAGAAATTAATAATTTATTATTTATCCCTCTGTATCCATTCTTGTATTAGCTTTAATATGCATTATATAGATTGAAATAGCTTTAATGTTGAAAATAGTGAAATATATAAATAAACTATTAAAAAAATACATAGTAAAAGAATTCATTTAGAGCGAATTAAATTGAGATTAAAATAAATTTTTTGTTAATGCATCTCTTAGTCCAATCTAATATATGAAATAAGAAAGGAAACGGAATAGAAGTTCGTAGATAGATAGATACAATGTTGAAGAAAGGACAATATGAAGCTAAGTAGAGTGCATACAACATAGAACAAAATATAGGACGGTTCAAGTACATTACAAACCTTGCACATGGTGCAATGTAGGAAGGTTCAAGTAAAGTACACACCTCATACATAGTACAATATAGACGGTATACGTACAGTACACACCTCATACATCGTACAATATAGACGGTATACGTACCGTAAGGTGTCCACGGCCGGATGAGCAACTTTTGAAAAAAGATGGGTTTTGTAGATTGGAAATCACTATGTGTACATAGTGAGAACTAGTCTAAACTTTTAGCTCAATATCTCTAAACTTTTAGCTCAATATCTCTAAACTTTTAGCTCAATATCTCTAGATTTTTAGCTCAATAACTCTAAATTTTTAGCTTAATATCTCTAAATTTTTAGCTCAATATCTCTAGATTTTTAGCTCAATATCTCTAAATTTTTAGCTCAATATCTCTAAATTTTTAGCCTAATATCTTTAATTTTTTAGCTCAATATCTCTAAATTTTTAGCTCAATATCTCTAAATTTTTAGCTTAATATCTCTAAATTTTTAGCTCAATATCTCTAGATTTTTAGCCTAATATCTTTAATTTTTTAGCTCAATATCTCTAAATTATTAGCTCAATATCTCTAAAACTCTAGGATATAATCGCTGCTAAAGTTTGAAAAAGACCTACACAGCTCCAAAATATTTTTTTTCTATAATTTATTATGTCGTTTATCATTTTCTTCGTAATTGTCCAGAAAGATAAAATCCGTTGAAATTTTCAAAAATGTTAAAAATTTGTCTGAGTTATATCCAAAAACCGCTAAAAAAAGTACTTTTCAAAAAACGAGCATTTTTTTTTTACTTTCTTCAGCACTTTTTAAAACGTTAAAATTACTCAAAGTTTGTAGTGCGACAGGAAAAGTTACCGCGCTCATCGTACGCGCCAAATTAGTAATTATTTGTACAGTATACACCATAAACATAGTACACTATAAGGACAGTTCAAAACACGGGTACACACTTAAACTCTTTGTATATATATATTGACATATTTTCTATTATTGATGTATATATATATATATATATATATTTATCTTTATTCTATATATAACCTGTAAGATTAGTAAAGTTCTATTTTCTCTCCGCTAAATCCCCCAAATGATTTGATTTTGGCGGATTTTCTAACATTTTGACTTTTGGCTTAAGTTAACTGTCATAGACATTAGGAAAGTTTTATATAAATCCCCCTAATCTGCGGTCTTCATGCATAAAAGACTCGGATGAAATTAAAGTTTGGGGAATATTTCCCCAGATATTGGAAATATTACCTTTTTATATTTTCAAAATGAGGGAATTTATTAAATTATATTCTTAAATTTGCATCGGAAAAGCCAGGCCAACCACCACCGCCATTTTGTTAAAATTCGACTGTACACATTTAGTAACGTTTAAGTTGAATAATTTACATTTTAAATACTTGGGGTTTATTCAATTATACAACGGTTACGGGACAATTAACATTTAATGATTAAATTCAGTGGGAGGGTTGGTAGTAGTGGATAGAATTAAATTGACAGTTTCACAGAAAGAGAACTATTTTCTAAATGTGTTCGTTTCTGTCCGATTGCTTGTGGAAAAAGCAAAGCACAAGTTTTTTATGAACAAAATTAGGTGCATAAATGTTACCTTTCAAGTCGTTGTTTTTTCTTTGTAAATGTAAAAATAAATTTTTTTTTTGCTTTAATCAGTGTGTGTGATTTTTAACTAATGTCGACATTTGTTGCGCAAAATTGTTTAATTTTGACGGTCCTTAAACATTCCGGCCCCCGTCATGTTAGTTGACAAAATAAATATGGATTAAAGAAAAGTATAAATTCAACAATTTTGAAAAGAAAATTCACTTTTCACATTGATCTTTACATTGTGGAATATCATTTTAGGATTGTTTTCAAATAAGGAACATCAATTTGCCGAAATTTGTTATGGATCATTCCCGCATTTCTAAGTTTTTATTTAAATATTGACAGCGCCATTATTGTTACAATAATGGCCGATTATTACATTTTTCAAATATAATTATATTTTATTGTAAATGTAAAATGAATGTTTTTTTAATTGTGCAGTTTTAAGATTTACCGATCAGAGCAATATTACTAAAAATTATATTTTCAATTAGCTAAGATTAAATTTTATTTTGTGTTTTGCTTTTAGCTGATTCATCATACATTATTATTTTGTATTTTGTTTTTGATAATAAATACTGTACCGTAACTATTATAAATTAAAACTGTTTATAACATCATTTATCATTAAATCTTATTCGTTGCTTTAGGCTGTTTAACCCATATTTTTTGAGAAGATTTAATAAGATATCCATGTTTTTAACCTTTTTTTAATTGTGGTTTCTGTGTAAAAGTGACTAGCAGAATTAAACACTTTTCAAGCTAAAAAACGACAATATCTTCCTTACTGTTTATCAGATGGACAGTCACTAAAAGCATGTTAATACAGAGCCCGCGATTTAAAAGCTTCGGCTCAGGTCGTAATTGCTTAAACCCAGCTTAGAAACTCAATCTAAGACCCAACTTTGACGACAGCTTGTGTGACCAGAGATGGAATTTAAAGAATTTGAGCCGCGATTTAAATCTGCCAAAACCCGGTTTAAATTAAGCGCCAGCTTAAA